TCTCGTCCGTACAGAGTCCAGGTCACATCATCAGCGGAAAGCTCATCCAACAACTGTCGATAACGTGCTAACCTCTATCTAGCATCATCCCCACCTGGCAAACGGGGAGAAATCCACGAGGAAGCACGAGGTGCATCCGGAGACTGCGGTAGGGGTGGGCATTCGGTCGGTTCGGTTTCGACCGAACCGAAATTATGAATACCGGGTCCCCGAATTCTCCCAAACCTCAAACCGAATTCGAACCGAATTATAATTCGGTTCGGTAGGTTTAAACCGAATTATAATTTGGTTCGGTTTTTCACACAAAACCGAATTTGTAAGGCTACTTGTATTTTCTCACTTTTATATTATTTTTTACCCCTAATATAGACAATAAATATGTAATTATATGCATCATCAATGAAAAATCAAACTTTTCAACACATAAGTCATAAAATATTTCAAATATTTAAGTCTAGAAACAACTACAAACATAAAAATCCACCATTTGAAGCTTACAATTATAGTATTTCAACTTTTCGGTCAGAAATTCGGAAATTCGGTTCGGTTGAAAGAACCTTGGTTTTCGAAATATCCATATTTCCCTTCCGAATTCCAAACCGAATAGCATTATTTCGGTTTCGGTTCGGTTTAATTCGGTTTCGGTTCGGTTCGGGTTTACCGAACCGGTTGCCCACCCCTAGACTGCGGCAGCTAGCTAGGACGGAATAGAGGAAAGTACTCATATATCCAAGCCTGAAGCAGGGTCAAACAACCACAAACACCCTGACTACCCGCTCGTGTGGCCACTCCCAACTGTCTGTAGAGATAGGCTAGTGCACCAGTTCCTAAGCGTAATCAGTCAATCGTCGATGATCCTTCAGAAACAAGTTGATCGCAGGACGAAGGCGATCACGACTCTTATCCACAAAAAGCGTGGATCCCAGTAACAAAAATAGGTATCGCTGCACCTCCATCTCCTTAATCTTCAGCTCTCCCCCACGCACCAACAATCCCTCCGCATGCATAACACCATTATCGTACCACTTAGACTTCCACTTACCACCAACATGAGCATCCATCGAAAGTCGAACTAAACCACCCATGTCTGACTTAAGAATATCCGGCGATGCCTCATCTCCCATCAGCTCTCCATCAACCGGAATACGAAGAATGGGATGCATATCGTGTAGAAGGATCGAAATCTCTCCAAACGGCATGTGGAAGGTGTTTGTGTCCGACTGCCACCTCTCCACAAATGCCGACAGTAGAGCCATGTCTAAATGCTGCATCATGCACCCTAGCAAGTGAGACAATCCTGTGGCTTCAACCATCTCCTTGGAACCCTCTGCACTCCACTTATATCGCCTCAAAGACTCTACAGCTTTCGGCCTATGGAAGCTGTCCAACACTCCACGGTCCTGCTCAGGGGAAGTCCACAGTACAAAGCCAATGTGACCTCCAAAGCTAGGGATCACATCGGGTATCACTGGTCCACCTGAACACATCTGAGACTCGGATGTAATAAACCACGACATATCTTTCCTCGTGGTCTTCCTCTTCCTATTTCCATCTCCGCCTTCCTCGCTACTAGGTCTGGACGCACAACGTCCATCGGGCCCACGGAAGTGTGAGGAGGCAGTAGAAGATATCCCGACCCGCGCCGTCTTCCCCACGCCTAAATCAGCTTGAGGCGGGGCATCCCCAACCTCAGCATCACCAGCATCACCGTCATCATCGTCATCCTCGTCAATGGAATCACTCCAATTAGCCTGCCATGCTGGTGCGCTCTCTGGTGTAAGAGTACTGGTAGTACCTCGACTAAGAGACAACTGCCCCACAGTAGGGTGGCCATCAGGACGCACTACATCCGCCTTCTTCTTCTTCTTCCTTCTAACCTTAGGTGGATTTTTTTCTTCATTTTCCTTCCTACCAGTCGCCGTAAGTCTACACCGACGACCTTCCATTCTCTCCTTATTTCTCGCCTTAATCATATCCGGTTTACCCATTACATGTCCAGACATCTTCAAAAAAAAGTTTGAATTATTAATAATGGAGTACATAAAGTAATTAATTTAAGACTTTCATAATTAAAATTATAAAACTAATAATTTGAACATTTATGTTACCTTCTATGTAATCATTATTTACATAAAAGTAAATAATTAATCAAGGTAAAATTATTAACAATTAAGTAGATCAACGAATTACTTTGAAATTTTGATTATTAAAATGATAAAAATACATTTTTAATTTTTTTATAATGTTCTTTAAATGTTTTATCATTAATTAACATTTATCGAATACGTTTTTTAAATTTTTATATCATTATTGAAAAAATATATAACTAAATTATTTTTATTAAGTATATTTTTAATAATTTTTATGATTATTAAAATTTATCGAATAATAAATACACAGAATATTTAAAAAAATAGAATATTAAAAAAAAGCGGTCAAACCGCGGTCAACGTGCGTTTGAACCAACGGCTGATCGCGGTTGACCGTTGGTCTAACCGCGCCTTGACCGCGGTCAGCCGTTGGTCAAACTGCAGTTTGACTGCGGTCGTACCTTCATCTCCGGCGACGCGAGGGCGGCGAGGCGAGCGCGGGAGGACGATGAGGCTCGCGCGGGCGGCGACGCGAGGGAGGACGGCGTCGCAAGCGAGCGGCGACGCGACTGCTGGCGGCGACGTGAGCGACGGAGCGAGCGGCACCGGTGGCGACTGCGGGCGGCGAATTCAAGGGCGACGGCGGCGAGTTGCAGAGGTGGCCGACGGCGGCGGTGAAGGGAGGGACAGAAGTCGCGGGTGAGAGGGAGTTGCAGAGGGGAAGGGGAATGATTTTGAGTTAGGGCTTGTTTGTTCAATTCAATTTTGAGTTTTTCCTTAAGGGTATATAGGTAATTTTACATTTAAGTTAGGGCGACCTTTAGCAATTTCAAAGGTGACATTTAGCAAGCCAATTCAAATTCACCTCGCAAAGCTTAAATCTCCTCTAGTATATATTGCGCCACCTTGCACATAAGAAGATTGGCCGCCCTTGAACTTATTGAACACCACCATTGTATCACCCGCAAAAGTAACCGACAACTTCAGACCGGGAGCGGATCAGGTCAGTAACTCTTATTGTGAGTAACCATCAGTAACCTGTCCACATCTGCATGACATCAACATCCCCTATCTCCTAGAAAGTCTTTTATCTTTTCCCCTTTAATCTTTTAAGAACGATTTCTCTCTCGTTTTAAGTCGAAATTTAATTTTTTTTGCATATATGAATCAGATTAAATGTGTTCTTTAAAATGATATCCACTTTGATATATTTTTAATACAAAAAAATTGAAATTTTTTTTACCAGTCATTACCATATGGTATGCTCATATGTAATACCATATGGTAAGAAAGCGTACCATGATGGTATGAACATACCAATATGGTAAGAAGGTTGAATACATGATAGTAGTAGTATACTAACTGTCATTTACGAATTTCATCATTGTTTACCACCCACATACCATAGTGGTAAAGTATGGTAATTTTTGGTCCAGTATTTTTTTCACCCAGAAATTTGTATATCCAATAGATCATGATGAACTCGTTCCTTCTAAGCAAAAGTTTTCAAAAAAGGACTTAAAAACGAAAAAATTACCATATGGTATGTAGTTGGTAAAAAAAGGTTTCTCGAAATATATTGAAATTTGATCTCATTTTGTAGAGCACAACGAACTCGTTCCATGTGTGCAAAAAAAATTAAATCCGAGTTAAAACGAAGAAGATAAGAGCCGATTATGAAAACTAGAGAAAATAAAATCCCTTTAATTGACAACCCTTAAATATGAATTTTCTGGGTCTACTTAGATCTAATGGTCCAGATTTAGTTACTCATAGGTTAGTAACCATTGGTTACTTACCCTATCCTAAGCTCTTCAGACCACCATACAAAGTCGGCAGCCACTATCATAAACCAGTTGATCTCAATAATTCGAGTTGTTGGGAGAAGGTTATGCTGGATCTTATAACACTCTCTAACAGCCACCATTGCCATCACCACCATACTCTTCTCATCCTGCAAAACCCAGATCCTACTCCATGAGAGCCCCTAGCCGTAGCCACATCCACACATAGAATGAGCTCTCCTGGAGAGCGAGATGGACCGACCTCCTGGTCCCACGAGCTTGGGGTTGTCTATAGGGGTGGGCAACCAGTTCGGTATACCCAAAATCGAAACCAAATTAAACCGAACCGAAACCGAAGTAATGATATTCAGTTCGGAATTCAGAAGAAAAATATGGATAGTTCGGAAATCAGGGTTCTTTCAATCGAACCGAATTTCCGACCGAAAAACCGAAATACTATTATTGCAAGCTCCAAATGGTGGATTTTTATGTTTGTAGTTGTTTTTAGACTTAAATATTTGAAATGTTTTATCACTTATGTGTTGAAAAATATGATTTTATCATTGATGATGCATATAATTGCATATTTATTATTTATATTAGGCTGAAAAATAATTTAAAAGTGAGAAGATACAAGTAACTTCACAAATTCGATTTTGTGTGAAAAACCTAACTGAAATGAATTATAATTCGGTTTAAACCGAACGAACCTAATTATAATTCGGTTCGGAGTCGGTTTGAGGTTTGGGAGAATTCGGGGACCCGGTATTCATAATTTCAGTTCGGTCGAAACTGAACAGACCGAATGTCCACCCCTAGTCGTCTACCCAAGTACTTGAGGTTTTTTTTATGATATAAAACAAAATGGTTCATAAAATTTTTTGAATCATTCATTAAGACCAAATTCTTCTCTTGCAAAACAAAATTTTATGTAAGGATCAATATAAGTATGAAATCTCAATTTAGAGTTATGTACTATTATTATTATTATTATTATTATTTTTTGGTAGTATTTTTTTCCCACTATTATCATTAATTGAAATTGTGAACTTAGAAAAAGTAAAACTTAGGGCATGGTTGAAATTATTTAGAAAAAAATTATTTCTATATGCTAGTTGTCGGTTGGCACTTGGCAGCCGGCCGGCCAGGCGCGCCAAAATAGCCAGTGGAAAGCGATCCCCTTCCGCGCGTATCCATTTTCAATTCGCTCCTTCGCTGCAGCTGCATCATCAATTTCAACTGCCTTCCCCAGGAGAAGAATAAAAACATATGAAAAGGACAAGAAAAAAAAAAAACAACAATAAAGGGGGAGAAAGCCGGAGAGGGACGCAAGCAATCATACACCGGAAGGGGAGAAGTGGTGATTCGAATTTCCGCCATTGAAGCAATCCCTGCTCTGCTCACCCATCCTCGTAAGTTTCCCAAAAACAAAACCCTAGAAAAGCCACTCCATTTCCATTCCCTGCAATTCCGTCTCTCCCTTGTCTATCCTGGGTTTTTTTTTTACTCAAATTAACGCCACTCACATCACGTCTTCATCTCCTTCCTAGTATTTACCGCCTCGGCCTGCAAATGATTATTGAAGCATAGGGCTCCGCCAACAAGAAGATTCGAGGTGCAAAAGGGGTAAAAAAAAGACCCAAACCATGAAGTCGTTGCTGCCCAAGGTTTAAGGCATCGTAGGCTTTGGTGTTGAAATTGGGGGAAGAGAAACGGAAAGGAAAGAGAGAAATGGAAGTTGATGGAGTGTATGCTTCAGTTGATCCCACTGTCGTCCGATCAATTCCGATACAGTCACGCCGGCAGAGAGGTAATTGTTATCTCCGACGATTAATTTATGTATTTCAGATTCTTTGCTGATAATGTGAATTTCTTCTGGTTTATGCCCAGCTTTCTTTATTTTTCACTTAGTTTGGAAATCTTTAGGTGGTTCTAGCAAAGGGTATGCTTCAACTTGCTATGTTTAGACTGTGATTATGCAATTAAGAGAGATACCCATATGCAAATATCTGGATTTTGCTGCTGGAGGGAGTTCAATTGTTTCTCTTCCCACCAAAGAAGTTTATTGGGTGGTTATATTATTGGTTAAGATTTTGGCTCAAGATTGTATGCATAGAAAGGCAGGATATCCGAGTTGTTAATTTCTTGGGGATGAGCAAATCACGAGTCCTGTGCCTGGTAATAGGTTAAAGTTCGAACTTTAGTCAACAATCGTTCATTTGTCAGCTTATTCCTAGCAGACCTAGTTGCTGGATGGACGTGTTTTTCTGGATAATTGATCTTCTTATCCTTGCACCATAATTCACAGAAGTAGTTGATTATGTTTTTAATTGATAGTAACATGTACTTTTCAGCTTTACATCAATTCACACAGCAGACTCTCCCAGCTTGTAAGCCTGTACTGACACCAGCATCGGTAAGTGAGTGTGCATTGATTTGCTATATCAGTTACTGTTATCTGAGGATTGTTTATTTGGCTTGTTGTTCAATGTTGTGTCTCTTTGGTTGTGCAGGTGATTACAACATTTTTCTTGTTGGGCCTTATTTTTGTGCCTGTTGGATTTATCACTCTTCGTGCTTCTCGTAGTGTAAGTTGCTTCTGCTTGCCATGAACAGCTACTATTTTCTTCTTGTGTCCATTCACTTAAGATCTTATAATCATCTCTTAGTAAGCCTGGACTGTTTTACCTATGCAGGTCGTTGAGATTGTGGAACGGTATGATGCAGATTGTGTGCCCGAGGAATTTAGAGGCAACAAGATGTCTTATATTGCAGACAGTTCTATTCCAAAAAATTGTTCCAGGACGTTGAAGGTTCGCCTCTAATTTGATATTTAATTCATGAATCTATAGAAACTCCTTACAGCCGATTATGACCCATTGCGTTTATGGAGATTCTGACATTTACTGGTCATGCCATTGTTCAAATATGAGGGAAATCTTCTGTACTTGTTCTATCCACTTGTATCTATACCACTAAATGTTTCATGTGAAGCTTCCTTTGTTAGTGTAGGATTGTTCAATGTGGTTGCTTTGTTTATGCCTTAAGAATAACATAGCAGCTGATAGCAGGAAAAAAAAAACATTTTGTGCCTTTTAGTAGTTCAGTTCAATTAATTATGGCCACTTCTTTGATTGGTGGGAGGTTCTGACTTTCTGTTGTGATATGACTTCAATGTAGGTGCCCAAGAATATGAAAGCCCCAATTTATGTTTATTATCAACTTGACAACTACTACCAGAACCACCGAAGGTTAGATTGTTTGCATCTGGGTATCGTGGTTGTGATAAGTGACCCTGCTAATTCACTTCCCTTAGTCATTTTTCAAAATTGTAGTTGGTTGGAACCTTTTTCATCATAGCATTTGTCTTTTGTCCACACTATTTGATTTGGTGAAAGATTTCCAGGTATGTCAAAAGTAGAAGTGATACGCAGCTCTTACGAGGACTACAAACCAACGACACGAGTCTTTGCAGACCTGAAGAGTTTGCAAATGGTCATCCCATTGTCCCTTGTGGATTAGTAGCATGGAGTTTATTCAATGACACATTCACATTTTCGCGAGGGGCATCGGAATTGAGAGTCGATCGAAAGAACATAGCATGGAGGAGTGACCGTGATCACAAGTTTGGGAAGGATGTATATCCATACAATTTCCAAAATGGGAGTATCATCGGCGGTGGAAAGCTAGATCCAACTATCCCTGTTAGTATCCCATAGCATTTATCATAAAACATCATTTTCCGCAGAGTTTATTCTCACACTGAAGCGAGCTGCTGTTTGTTGACTTTGTACAGCTAAGCGACCAAGAGGATTTTATTGTATGGATGCGCACAGCGGCCCTTCCAAGCTTCAGAAAGTTATATGGGCGAATCGAAGTGGATTTAGACATGGACGAGGAGATAACAGTGGACCTAATGAACAACTACAATACATATAGCTTTGGTGGGAAGAAGAAGATTGTGCTTTCGACCACGAGCTGGATCGGTGGAAGGAATGACTTCATTGGGTTTGCATTCATGTTTGTTGGCTCATCGTCAATACTCCTGTCACTGGTCTTCATGCTGCTTCACGTCAAGAACCCCAGGTAAGAATCAAAATATATGACCCTTTTACTGCCATCCATTCATAATTTTCTTGCTAGTTCCTGGACTAACGAATGTGGCCAATTCCAGGACTTATGGAGACGCTGCTTACTTGGCCTGGAACAAAAAGGGCATTTCTGGTTGATTCTTGTGTTACCACATTCTCTTAGTGCAAACGGCCGAAATGACCATGGAAATCTGGCGGCGTTGTCTGGTTCAACAACTGAGAAATGAGTTGCAGAGTCAGCTGCGATGGCATTTTAGGGATATCTGGGAAAGGGTACATCTTCATCTGCTAAATGGAACAGAGAGAAGCATCCATTGATTAGATTTGGCGGCACTTTTTGTACCATACCATTTGTTCTTATGCTGCCCAACAACCGGCCGAGCATTATTGCTTCTGTTGTATTTTGTTTTTACGTCTTTGCCACCTCACTTTTAACAGGGGGCTTTTGATGGTGGCGGCTGGGACCGAAGAACGTGCTTTGGTCCCTTCCTTCGGTTGCTTTATAAACCTTTTGCCTTCTGTTGGTGTGGATTCGTTTCCTAGTATTGTTAACAGTTGGACGTGTACAAGATTCCATATGACTAATTGTGCATTGGTCAAATAGGAAGAACAACAGATGAAGAAACGTGTATCCTGGTGCTGTGCTTTTTACTGTACACCCGTCAACTGTCAAGTGTAGTGAAGTAAAGAGATGACATCGTTACATCTTTTGAAAGTATTGCGGCCTGTTCCAAGTGTATTTTTATCGTATGGAAAGCATGAGTTGGTGGTAAGAGAACTGATGAAATGAAAATTGGATCACATAGAATTATGTTGCGTTTTTGGGGGCTCAAAGGCAGAACAAAATTATAACTGAAACCCAGGCACAAATAACTAGACTTTAAAATGTAAGATAATGTGAAAATGAAAGAGTTGTTGGTTCGAGATCCCTAATAGTTTTAGCAACAAAATTTATTAGCGTTCGCATGAATTATGATAGAATCACTCTCACTCGGTAGTGTCAAACACAAACGCTAAAGGTTCGACGAAATAAAAAGTATAGAACAAAGAGAATTAGAAATGACAAAGTGTAGAGAACCTTTTCGTCTCTTTATAATTATAAGTGTGTATTACTCGACGCTCCATGGAGATCATTCATGTGCGGCAACACACTCCCAAAATGTGTTCAATGGCACCATTTTCAGCGCTTAAGCCGAGACATAATCGAGCTACTATCAATGCCCTTCTGAAAGGATCGGAAAAAGAAATCACGAACTGTGATGCCGTGATATTTCGGAGGATCATCTTCCGATAACAACTCTTTTATGGGTTCATATATTCTCGAAGTCGATAGTCCCTCATTACCAAAGAATGCAGCAACTGATACTCTTGGTCCAACGCTTCTGACTAGTGCCCTGTGTTCCACGCTTTTAAATTTATCGTTGGAGATTAGCTGCAAAGTTTATCACTTCAATAGATACATCACATAACCCATTATCAAAATATTATAAGTCTGTAACTCTGTGCTTTGCAAGTTGTTATCAAACCTATAACCTTAACCTATAACTTGTTACACTTGCATAAGAGACATATAACTAAACGGGAAATACATGCACTAGTTTGTAACTTTGTATAAACGATATGGACAAAATCAGAAAAACTGACCTGAAACATATCGCCGACATTGACAACCAGAGCCCCCGGCGTCGGAGGGACATCGACCCAACGATCCCGACGAAAAACCTGAAGACCCCCGACGTGATCCTGCAAAAGAACCGTGACGAAACCGAGATCCGAATGGCGGGCAATCCCCAAGGTGAGGTCCGGCTGGGGACAGGCCGGATAGTAATGGCTCGCGATCCCCAATCCCTCCGAGCAGCCCATCTCCTTCAAGTGGGCCGGATCCAGGCCCAGAGCCTCAGAGAACAGCCCGAAAAGCAAGTCCCCCAATTTCAGCATTTCGGCCGAGTAATCCATCACGATTCCCCTGCAGCAGGCCGGCAGCAGCTCTGGGGCCGGGGGATCCGGCGCCATGCGGTAGACGATGGAATTCCTCCAGTCCGCAGCAGCGGCGGTGTAGAGATCGAAGTTGCTGGTGTATACGACTTTTTGGGTAATGTCGCGGCCGAAGAATTCCTTCTTCAATCCCACGTCCTGGTCGAAGAACCTGTGGACTCCGGCTTTCATCTCGGCAATGGTGTTCGCGGGGACTCCGTGGTTGACTATTTGAAAGAACCCCCATGTTTCCGTTGCGTCTCTGATCTCTGCGACGATCTGTTTCCGTTTCTCGGGGTCTTGTTGGAGTACTCTCGCAAATTCCAGGTCGATTACGGGGACGGTGAAATCGGGATCGGCGGGTGAAGCAGAGGGTTTGGCGCCGTTGAGGGAATCCGGCGGCGCGTGGAAGATTCGTGGCAGCTCTGTGATTCCGGCGTCCGCCAGGCCTTTCACTCCGGCCTTGGTTTCCTCGAACCATTTCTGCTCTGCTAGACGATCATAAGCGGTGGTGGGGGCCATTTTCTTTGCTTGGTGAAGTAATTATGGAGAGTTTGTGCTTAATTTTTCAAATGATTTGGATAATGTATGAAGCCATTAAATGTACATGGCGAGAAGTTTTGGTCGAGCTCAATAATGGTGCTCGACTGGCTGCTGCATTTTGGTCAAGTGTTCGACATTATTGGGCTGGCGGCTGCGTCTTTGATTCTTGACGAACCCATTCTTGCATTCAAGTTAGGTGGCGGTCCCTGAAATATTTTCAAAGAGTATCTAATATTTAACAATGGCACAAAATAAGAAAAGGTAATTAATTATATTTAATTTGACAAAGTATACAATTTGCAAAACAAGTCAAACTTGAACCAATGCACTAATAATAGGGAGAAGAAAAAAAATTCTCCTTTTATTCCGAAAAAAAATCCAAAACTACCATGGTTTATTTTTTTTACAAAACTACCACCCATACCGAAGAAATTCCAAATCTACCACCCTTAATTAAAAATCGCTCCACGCAGGGGCGGTTAAAACAAAAACCGCCCACCAAGGCGGCAGTTTACCACCTGCCAGACGAGCGATTTGTCCTTTTTGGGAAAAACGCTCTTCGAAGGAGCGGTTTCCATGGCTGTCCTAGCACAAACCGCGTCCTCTGGAAGCGGTTATATGTCGGCAATGTAAAACGATCCACAGGGAAGCGATTTACTATGTCTATGCACACAAACTGTCCCCCAGCGGTTTGTGCCTCGTCACCCGACATCCGACATGTCGGCATGTAGGAGGTTGCAGGGGTGGGGGCTGCATGCCAGACTAAAACAGCTCCCCCTGCGATTTTCAGTGTAAAATTTGCCTATAAAAGGCAGTTCCAGAAAACTCAAAATCTTCACTCCTCTCCTCCTCCTCCTCCTTCTTCTTCTTCTTCTTCAAATTTCAGTTGTGCACCTTCATTGTCATTAACGTTAATTCGTAAGTTTGTTTTGTATTGCTTTTCATTGTCATTTGTGATTTTTATGGTAGTAACTTAATTATAGTTTTATTGCAGATGGCATTCCAAAAGTTCACGCTTGGGTTACAGTGGAATGGTTACATGGAAGAGACCGGAAAGGGTGTAAGTTACATGGGTGACAATTTTTATAAAATGAAGGTTCGTACGAGGCCGATGCTTGAAGAGCTCCATAAAATGTGCACTGAGGTTACCTGCATGGATGACACTAGAAGAGTTGATTGTATGGTGTATCGATATCCAAACAGATATGGCAGGTCGTTGTGGAATGAGGAATTCCTCATTACCACTCAGGAGGACGTTGATGCCATGGTCCAATTTTTGACCACCAATAACATTAAACAAGCGTAGATGTTCGTTTACACTGAGGCGGTCGAAGGCGGTGTAGATCATTCTAAAGATGGCCAAACATCTGGTATCCACGGTGGAGGTGTATTATACGAAGATCATTCCGACCAGGAGTACCAAAACCGGAGCTGGTGCCAGGAGTATTATGATGGAACTGGAGGTCATCATCAATCCTTCCCAGCATATGAAGAAGAAGCTCAACATGCGGATGAGAACCAACAAGCAGGCTACCAGTACCAACCCGAGTACAACTTCTACCAAGGCGGCGGTAGTTATCACAACTACCCTTACGGAGCTGATGAAGGTGCCTTTCATGATCTTGATCAGATGGAAGATGTCAATCCAAGTCCAGTTAGTGACCCTGAGGTTGAAGAAGAGGATGACGATGTCACTGTAGACAACTTCGATCCTCTTGAAGGTGCTGATGATTCCGGTCCAGATTCAGACAGAGAGGGTGATGAGGTGCCTCACGATCGTGTACCTATCCCGTACTACAATCACATTCCAAATGAAGATTGGTATGTTGATGCTGACATGGACCCGCTAGAGGTGCCAGTATGGGGTCCACTCACTAGCTTTACGAAGGGCCAACAATTTGCAACGAAGAATGAGGTGCGGCAAGCTATTGTCACTGAAGCAATGACTCGGAGTTTTGAATGGCACACAACCCATTCCGACACGAAGAGGCTGATGGTTAGATGCCAAAATTAAAACGAGGGATGCAAGGCTAGGGTCGGAGCCATCAAGAGCAAAATAGTCGGCCATTGGGTCATATCTCGTGCGGCGAACACTAACACATGTGTGTCATCCATAATATCTCAAGGCTATCGACAGTTGAAATCAAGAGTGGTTGCCGCGGCTATCAAGCATCTAATTGAGGAGCAGCCCGACCTGAAGGTTAAAACCATCATCACCGACATTTCTAGTCGTTATGGATATATCATTAACTACAAGAAGACGTGGCATGGAAAACAGAAAGCAATGGCCACCGTGTTTGGTGACTGGGAAGAATCATATGCTTTCCTTCCCATATTGATTTTGGCTATGGAGGGGTCTAACCCTGACACCATTTTCTCTCCCCGCTACCAAGATGAAGAAATTCAGACGCCGGTGCCTGGTAACAAGCATCATTTCAAGCGTCTTTTCTGGTCATTCAAGCCATGTATTGATGGTTTTCCATTCTGTGTTCCTGTGATTCAACTTGATGGAACATTCCTTACCGGCAAGTACAAGGGTAATCTACTGATCGCCAGACCAGCGGAGCAGATGCAAATAGAGCAGTATATCCATTAGCTTTTGTCATTGTTGAGGGAGAGAATACCGACAGCTATGGATGGTTCTTTAGACAAATTCAACTCCACGTCACCAGGCGAACGAACCTAACCATCATCTCTGATCGCCACGTCGGTATATGGGCTGCCATCTTAGGCGTGGATCCAGCCTGGAAGTGGTCACATTGATGGTGCATATGACATTTCAAGAGCAACTAGAACCATCATTTCAAGCGAAAGAAGCTTGCTGATAGTCTATGGTGGACCGGTAAGAGTTCTATTTCATTGGTCTAATACTTTTGTTAACTGGAAAAACGAAACTAGATCAATACAATACAACACTTATTTAGAATCTTTATAAAGTAATGCATGCCTAAGAAAATGGGGTTTTAAGGGGTCATCATGATTGACACGCCAAAACACAACACCTAACAATGGCCAAGTGTAACCAATGAAAGGGACTGCAGTATAGTGGCACAAGTAATAAATATCGAATCCACGGGTCTCTAGAGTTACTATTACTCAGCTTCAGTTCATTATCTAGCAAACTAGATTAAGGATTGATTGATAAACTACTCTACTGACTACTCTACTAATTACAAGTTGGGAACTCACTTAGGTATGATTCCCCCTAGCTCCTCAATTAGGTCCAAGTTGCAATAACCTTTGGTTGATCTACTGTTGATTAAACTGCGGAAGATCCTAAATTAGCTTGGAATCTCTTAAGCTGACCAAGCCCTCTCAGTCCAACTACCCGGCAGACGACTAGTCTTCACCAGGATAGAAAGCTGAGGCTATGAACACAGAACTCCACTACCGGAATTGGATTCCAGTACAAAGCAGTAAACTGGCTAACTCTCGTATAGCCAATCTCCTACTATCGAATGAAGGGACTCTAACAACCTAATCAGATTCTATCTATCATAGGTTAAAGCAGAAATCAAGAGAATTTGATCAAGATTCAATTGACTCAATAAATCATGCCTCAATCGATTATAATCAAACAATAAAGCATCCAAAACTTCATACAAGAAAGATCCTAACTCATGGAACTAGGGTTCCTCAAAACCTAAGTGAAGGGAAGTTACTCCATAGAGAAGAGAGAGACTGCAGAAATCTGATCTAGATCTTCAATCTCCATCTCCAAGCTTGATTCCCGAGCTCCAATGGCGAAGAAATCCTCCAAAATAGCTCCAAGAATGTTTCCAAGTCGCTCTCTCTCTCTAGGGTTCGTCCCTTGGATGTTTGGGATCCAAAACCCAGCTCTCCCCCTTTCCTTTTGCTGAAAATCGGGTTTTAAACAGCAATTCCCGACTCACACGGGCAGGCCGCACGGCCGTGCAGCTCACTCAGTTGCCCGTGCGAAGGCTCGGTGATTTCCGCATGGCCACGACTCGCACGGCCGTGCAGCTCACCTTGCACGGCCGTGCGGATTTTCTGCTCTGCCCGTGTGGCTTGCTCAGCCTCTGTTTAATGCTTCGTTTCTCCCTCGTCCGGACTCCGAATCAGTCGCCGTTTGATCCCAGACGCTCGTAGTCTCGTCCTCTTTCGTTTCATAACAAGATTGCATGATTATTTGTCCATCAAGTGAGGTAAAAATCCATTCTTCTTCAGGTTATGCCCGAGTTTCTTCTCTCGAATCGTCAATTGATCTCTGATTGACTTGAAACTTGCGCCTATGCTTCACTTTATGTGCTAGGACCTGAAATGGGACAAAGGAACACAACCTAGCATAAAATAGGCCAAAGACGCAATAATTCAAGCTCAAACAATCAAGAAACAAAGGGGAAAACATGTGCAAATACCGAGTCATCAATGATCCTCCCATTTCTTGGGAAAATCGGGTTCTAAGCAACCTCGGATCCCCCCTTTTTTCTGTCAAACATGCTGTGTTTCTAAGGAGATGTATACCTCTCCTAAGAGTCTTACGAGTGTACTTGTATTGCTCAAAACGGATACCTGGAGGGGCAGTTTGGTATTTTTACCCCACCAAAAACCGGGCCCTAGGGCAACGGTTACCAGTGGGCGACGCGGATCGCTCCGCTGGCAGGCGGTTAGCCGTCAGATCACCTGCCCATCGCACGGTTGCATGGATCGCCACGTGGAGGTGCGGTTTTGCAGCTGCCCAATGGTAAATCGCCCCTTGCCCGCGCGGTTTGAATGAGAACCGCGCCTTCGAGGCGCGGTTTATGTGGAATGGTGGTAGTTTTGGAATTTTGTTGGATTGGGTTGTACTTTTGTAATTTTTTTTAAAATGATGGTAGTTTGGGAAAAAAATCCTTTTATTCCTATGGATAGTCAACCCAACCTTATACTTGTTATGCAAATAATCTTTCATCAAGCATTCCGAGTCTACAAAATACTATAAGGCAATGTCAAGATATAGGCTTTGCCACATTAGCCACCGCTGAAACCACCGCACAGTGCGGAGGGACATTACCGT